ACACGTGGAATTCGAGTATGTTTGTGCTTGCTTAATCCTAGGAACTGGAACTAGATTAGCATAAAACAGACTGCCTTCACATCCCCCGTAGGGACACATGACTCACTAAATTGTTCATCCATTCATTCCGCAATCCAAAGCCTTCGGTTGCGCTACTTTCTTCCTCAAACACACTAAACAAATTGAAACGATTTATACGCACCACCTCCACAACCGAGATAATCTATTCCCTACTACCTCATTCTTACAAAAAAAAATAGTAATTGAATTCCAAGAAAAATGTAACAAAAAAATAACATACATATGTTTTGTAAGCATTTACTCAGTTTTATGTCAAGAATAAAGGCATTTTATCAGGTTTACTAGGAGGATTATTTCTGAAGGTTCTTAAAGGTACCACTACAATTGTACTTGAATATACCCCTTGATGTTTTCACTCCATTTTCTAATATAAAACATATTTTTGACTTATAAAAACATAAAATCTAGATATATATTCCCACAGTATCTCAAAACAAATCGTAGTGAAAGGGTGGACAAAGTGGACAAAATAAAAAAAGGCAAATTTCAAAAGATTCACTCAGTTTTATATCATGACTGATGGCATTTTATCAGGTTTATCAGGAGAATTATTTCTGAAGGTTCTTAACGGTACAACTACATAAGACTAATGGTACTTGAATACATCCCTTGATGTTATCACTCCATTTTCTAATATAAAACATCTTTTTGACAAATAAAAACATAAAATCTAGATATGTATTCCCAAACCATCTCAAAAAAAATCGTCGTGAAAGGGTGGACAAAGTGGACAAAATAAAAAAAAAAACAACTTTCTTATTTTTATCCGAAGAACTTTTGAAGTCCTTTTGATGTTGCAAACGTATAAATATTTTTCTAAACAATTATTTTATAAAATTGTAAAAAAAAACAAATAAAATTAATTTAACAATTGGCTATTGTTTTTTTTTAGAATTTTGTAATTAGAATTGTGTAAATTAAATCTTATATAAACTTGAATTTATTCAATTCATAGATGTAAATAAAAAATCAGCATTCGTTTGGTTGTTTGGAAGAAAACCTCTTAAAAATGAAAAAATAAAATCATATGGACAATTGTAAATGGTGTCCCAAAATTTGAATTTGCCGCCATTTCTGCAGTAAAGTGTTGGCAACCCAAAAAAAAACAACAATTTGACACTTTACTGCACATATGGTGGCAAATTCAAATCTTGCGTTAATTTTGGGATACCCTTTATAATTAATAAAAATTTGATATTTTGCTGAAATTCTGTTGTTATTGTTGTCGAAATTACGACTGATTTATTTGGTTCGGAAAACAAAGCACTAAAAATGATTACACTATTTGTTTATTCGATATTGCGTAACTCGAGCTTCGAAAAAAACGCGCGAATTTCGAAAAAATGCTGCAATAACGGCGATATTTAATATTGAATTTGAAGCGAAACAATGGATCAAATATAAATAAATCGGAATTCGTTAGAGGAATTGCGTAAAACGTGAATCGAATTATCGCACCAATTAAAACAATTCGAAACCTTTTGTGTGAAACAAATATGAAATGTAAAAAAAAATTGAATTTTGCTTTTTCGTATGTATCTTTGTTATTGCATGAGTTGAATAATTATATGAATTTGTGATATGCCTAAAAGCGTAGCAATAATTCTGAAAGGTTTATTTAACTTGAAACTGTTTAGTTAAAAACGAATACGTCTTTTTCAGTCATAGTAACGTTTTTATACTTTTTAGGATTAAAAATGTATTTTCTTTGTGTTATTTTTAGTATTTATGAAATGATATGTACAAAAAAATCTAAATTTGTTTGGTATTTTATAATTCATGTAAATTCAAGAGATTAATTAAATAAATTAAAAATTCATTTTGATTGTGCGTAAGAAAAACCCACTAAAAATGTACAAAAAATCGTCTAAGAGAGAATTGTATAATTAATAAAACAAAATATAGATTACTGAAATTAAATAATTCTTAATAAATAATGGTAGGCAATATAAAAGGTGGCGTAAAAGTAATGTCATAATTTTAATTAGCTGCCATTTTTTGCAGATGGCGCCAAATGTCACTGCGCTTTGACATTTATGATGTAGATATTAGTGAATTAGTTGTCAACAAGTCATGGAGCGATTCACACCTTATTTGACAGAATTTCAGTTTATTGTTTTGTCGTTATGACATTATTTTTGCACCACCTTGTACATGAAACATGTAAAAAGTTTAATAGTAATTGAGAAATTTTGAATTTTACATATTTTCTTTATGCAAATGAAGCAATAAGAAATAAGTAATTTTGTTATAAAAAAATTAATAATTTATAATATATAATTCGTGTAAATTCAAGAGATTAATTAAATCTTTTATAAACTTAAATTTATTCAATTCATAGGTCTTAATAAAAAATCATCATTCCTTGGATTGTTTGGAAGAAAACCTATCGAAACTGTTAAAAAAAATCGTTTAGGTAATGTATAGTTAATAAAAAAAAAATGTATAGATTACTGAAATTTATTAAATTCTTGGTCTAAAATAAAAATTGTTCGTTTGTTTGATTGGAAGAAAAAACTTTCTAAAAAAAATGTGTATGCAGATGCAATAGAATATTAATTTTAATTGCATTTTGCAATGGATTTAGTGAATTAGTGCGTCTCATTTAATGGCGTTCGCAAAATTTGGCGAAGTCGCGCAATAATTATAATTATCAAATAAAGGGCGCAATAAAACGCTGTTTTAATTGGGAAAGTTTCGGACGGTCACGGGACCGCCTGAATGAACAAAATTTTTGGGTCCATTAACGGGCACAAAGGGCCGCAGCGAATAATTCCCAGGATTTATTTGATATGCAGTTGGGCGGAACGCGTGTACTTGCAGCAAGGCGACAATACACATATACTCACCACACACACACACATATTGGTGAGTGCCAGGACTATGGTGGAAAAAAAAATCTAGTGGACGAGTGGAAAATGGTTAAAAGGACCGAAAGTTTTTGCATATCATAATAAATTTAGGGAAATGGAAGGAAGGGCGCACAATGAGATTAATTGTTCATTGCGGATATGGTACAGGTCTTGCACACGCGCGTACACGACACGGTATTAAGAGGACCGTAAATTATGCGTGATTTATGTAAGGCGGAAGTTTCAAAACAAAATTTTTCGAAACGGCATAAATCTCTTGGTTGGAGGCGTTCACCCTCCTGCATCTCCAAATCCGTTGCATAATATAAACACTGCCGCCGCCGCCTCCAGCGTTGAAAAGTTAATTTATTTCAGTGCCCTTTATAAAATTCGACTGTCAAACAAGAAGAAATGCAAATTTAAGAAAAAAAAAATACAACTTTCGACAAGTAAAACAATGCTCAAACAAATCTAATATTGGAAAGAGTATATATCATTTTTTTTCTCTCAATTTTAAAGTCTACAAAATTTGTAACAAGTAACTTTTCAAACATATTTTTTTTAAATATTTTCCTTTTAAAAATAATCGTATAGACTCATTGGAAAAAGTGTAATTTTATCAATAATTTGCCAATTGAAGATAATAATTAACATGTGCAGTAATTGAGTAATTTGTAAAGATTTTGTAAAAGCCTTTAGAAAAGTTAGAGTTCTTAAGAAATCTCGAATTTTACATATTTTGTTCTTTTTTTTGGAATTGAAGCAATATTTGTATGAAATTTTGTTATAAACAAGTGATAAGATTATAACAATATAATTTAGTTAATTAAATTACGTTATTTTTTTTTTCACACTGTTTTATCTGTTTTATCTTTTTTTCTCTCTATTTTAAAGTCTACAAAATAACTTTTCCAATTTTTTTTTTTAATATTTTCCTATTAACAATAATCGTATAGACTCATTGGAAAAAGTGTAATTTTATCAATAATTTGCAAATTGAAGAAAATAATTAACATGTGCAGTAATTGAGTAATTTGTAAAGTTTTTGTAAAAGACTTTAAAAAAGTTAGAGTTATTGAGAAATCTCGAATTTTATATGTTTTGTTCTTTTTTTGGAATTGAAGCAATATTTGTATGAAATTTTGTTATAAACAAGTGATAAGATTATAACAATATAATTTAGTTAATTATATTACGTTATTTTTTATTTCACACTGTTTTATCTTTTTTTTCTCTCTATTTTAAAGTCTACAAAATAACTTTTCCAATTTTTTTTTTCCTATTAACAATAATCGTATAGACTCATTGGAAAAAGTGTAATTTTATCAATAATTAGCAAATTGAAGAAAATAATTAACATGTGCAGTAATTGAGTAATTTGTAAAGATTTTGTAAAAGACTTTTGATATACTTAAAAAGTATGTGAAAAGTTTCAGTTTTTTAAAAATTTATAAAAAGTTGGAGAAATCTCGTATTTTATATATTTTGTTCTTTTGTTGGAATTGAAGCAATATAATTTTGTTTATTAATTTACGTTATTTTTTATTTCACACTGTTTTATCTGTAATTATTTATAATATATGATATTTTTTAACGAGTTCGGGTGAATTCAATATAAAAAAAAACATGTATATGTAGACAGGAATTTGGAAATATTAATATTGCAGTAATTTTGAACAAATATTTGGCAAACATAAATGCATTTCATGAACTTCTGGTGGTCGCGTCGGGTTATGCGTATATTGAGCGCAGAGCTGGAATGGAATTCCATCGGGAATATTCAAGAATCATTCATTCATTAAAAATAATTGAAATGCGGACGGCGAGGATGCGGAAATAAACATTTCCCCCATCATCATCCCCCGTGTTTTCCCTCCGCGAAAAGCAATAAAAAGGGAGGTAAAAGAAGCAAAAAAAAAAGAAAGAGAGGAAACAGAAATGGCGTTTCCAGGTTTGGGGAAGGTTAATAAATAATTAATGAATATGGAGATGCGCGGAGCCCCCGAAATAATTAATGCAGCGTAAATGGATTTAGGGTGGTCGAAATGTAGGGAATTCTCCTCTTACCTTTACTGACGCCGGAGTTCTTGTCCCGAAGGACGTTTATCGAGTGCACCCGTCCGTACTCTTCAAACATCCTCTTCAGGTCGTTCTCGTCCATCGACTTTGGCACCTGACCCACGAACATCTTAATGTTGTCAGGATCCGGCTGCTCCTGTTCCTCCTGTACATTCCCGCTCACAGCCTGCAGGCTGTTGTTGTTATTGTTATTATTGTTATTGTTGTTGATGTTGCTGTTCGTCGTATTGTTGTTATTGTTGTTGGTCATTCCCAAGCTGCTAGAACAAAACAAGAACATTCTAATTAGCATAATTCATATAACATACATCAATGGAACAAAACTAAATTCTTAATCTGCCTTAATCTTCATTATTCGATAGGAATTATGACATTTATGATTATGCATTCATTTTTTAACCTAATTTATACAAAAAGTCGACAGTTTTCACAAATACGGGCCAAAATGTTTAAGTTTAAAGTTTTAGATTTAGTACAGAGGTTTGGTTCTCTTCAATATTTTTTTTTTCATTTTTCAATTTATCTGCGTGCTAACAATATTGTTTATAATTAATTAAACATGCTTCATTCTTCCAATCACAAATAACATGATTACAATATGTTTTAAATTCATAAATTAAATTATTCAACCACTCGCGAACGAGTGGCGGATATATATGCCCTATCCTTTACACATGGAAAAATATTATAAAATATTTATTTATATATTGAAATCTTACTATAATAATTATCTATAAATGTAGCTAAATAATAAAAGAAAATTGAAGTTTGTTTCTTTCTTCGTCATTATATAAACACAAAATTTAACAAAATAAAGTTAATAAACAAGTATAGTGATTTGCTTAAACGATGTTAAGTTTAAAGTTTTAGATTTAGTAGAGCTTTGGTTCTCTTCAACATTTTTTTTTTCAGAATTTATCTGCGTGCTATGATAATAAGGGTAAAAGGAGAAAATCACTTATGTAAAAAAAATGGATAACAATATTGTTTATAATTAATTAAACATGTTTCATTCTTCCAATCACAATTAACATGATTACAATATGTTTTAAATTCATAAATTAAATTATTCAACCACTCGCGAACGAGTGGCGGATATATACGCCCTATCCTTTACAGATGGAAAAAGATGATAAAATATTTATTTATATATTGAAATATTACTATAATAACTATGTATCAATGTAGCTAAATAATAAAAGAAAATTGAAGTTTGATTCTTTCTTCGTCATTATATAAACACAAAATTTAACAAAATAAAGTTAATAAATAAGTATAGTGATTTGCTTAAGTTTAAAGTTTTAGATTTAGTAGAGAGCTTTGGTTCTCTTCAACATTTTTTTTTTCAGAATTTATCTGCGTGCTATGATAATAAGGGTAAAAGGAGAAAATCACTTATGTAAAAAAAAATGGATAACAATATTGTTTATAATTAATTAAACATGTTTCTTTCTTCCAATCACAATTAACATGATTACAATATGTTTTACATAAATTAGAGAAATTTTATATTCAACCACTCGCGGACGAGTGGCGGATATATACGCCCTATCCTTTACACATGGAAAAAGATGATAAAATATTTATTTATATATTGAAATCTTACTATAATAATTATGTGTCAATGTAGCTAAATAATAAAATAAAATTGAAGTTTGATTCTTTCTTCGTCATTATATAAACACAAAATTTAACAAAATAAAGTTAATAAATAAGTATAGTGATTTGCTTAAGTTTAAAGTTTTAGATTTAGTAGAGAGCTTTGGTTCTCTTCAACATTTTTTTTTTCAGAATTTATCTGCGTGCTATGATAATAAGGGTAAAAGGACGAAAATCGCTTACGTAAAAAAATGAATAACAATATTGTTTATAATTAATTAAACATGTTTCATTCTTCCAATCACAATTAACATAATTACAATATGTTTTAAATTCATAAATTAGAGAAATTTTATATTCAACCACTCGCGGACGAGTGGCGGATATATACGCCCTATTCTTTACACATGAAAAAAGATGATAAAATATTTATTTATATATTGAAATCTTACTATAATAATTATCTATAAATGTATCTAAATAATAAAAGAAAATTGAAGTTTGTTTCTTTCTTCGTCATTACATAAACACAAAATTTAACAAAATAAAGTTAATAAATAAGTATAGTGATTTGCTTAAACGATGTTAAGTTTAAATTTTTAGATTTAATAGAGAGCTTTGTTTCTCTTCAACATTTTTTTTTTCAGAATTTATCTGCGTGCTATGATAATAAGGGTAAAAGGACGAAAATCACATACGCAAAAAAAAAATAAATAAAGAAAATGGATTTTGCGTGCCGTTTTTTCAGTCGTCCCGACAAGCGATTTAGATGTGACGGGTCTCACATATATTTCCAGACGACGTCCTCCGAAGAAGGAAGACTCGTCCTGGGGACGGCTTAGACACACGCTCGTGCATTTTCATCCCTTCGCGTCCTTCGCTCAAGACACACACACACGTCGGTTGAAAGATGGCAGAAATATTATTCAAAATTTACACGTACTCTTGGAGAAGATGTTTCGCGACATTTCCACCCGGAAAATCCCATCCATAAATCAACTCAGTCTAATTACTTCTCAACGAATTATTCACCCAAAACCTAGACAATTTATAAATGCCGAAAGATTTTCTCCAATTATTTAATTAACAAATTTTGATCTCTGAAGTAGAGAAATTTACTTAATTTTGTAAATTTTTAATTTAATTCTGTAAATAATTCATATAATGAAATTTATTCAGTAATAACGAAAATAAATTGAGAATTGTGTCTAAATTGGACAAATGAAACTGGGAGGAAATAATCGGATCTGTAACTGAACTTAAATGACGTTAAGTTTAAGTTGGTACAAAGAGGTCGACAAAAGAAACATAGAGAGAGATAGAGAGAGATAGAGAGAGGAATAACGAGTGGAAATAGTAAAAGATAGGTCTTCAATTATTTACTCATTCCGAAGGGGACGCCGCTCCTTTAATTAGGCGCCCGGCGCAGCCGTTAATCCGCTTAAACTTTGCCGCTCGCGCGCGCCCTTCCGCCCGCACTGACCGTCATCCCAAACCCCTAGCAACTTCCCTAATAGACACGGACACTTCGACTGCACAAACCACCCCCCAAAATTAATTACATAAGCTCGCCTACTTACGAAACAGTTCCGGAATTGTTAAAATAAACTACAGAAATAATAAATTAAAATTTTCCACTCGACATATTTCAATTATTATGGTTGAAAAATGTTCACTCGGTTTTCAGCTATAAAAATAAACGCAGATGATAAATTTAACAAAGCATAAGTGGAATCGACGATGGGTCTTTTTATGGTTTGGGTACAACGAGCGAGAATTCGATTTATTTATTATATATTTGCAATTTCTGCGAGTATCGCAGTAAATATTTTATTGCCATTATTGCGAATTCGCGCAAGGGATTAATTCGCTTTCGATTCGAATTCAATTTGCGAAATGGCATCGATTCGATGAACTTAAACGCCATTGTGTTCTATCCATCCACGATCCGTAATTTCATGCATGATCCACAACAATATGGTGTGGATACACCGGATAACAATATTGTTTATAATTAATTAAACATGTTTCGTTCTTCCAATCACAATTAACATAATTACAATATGTTTGAAATTAATAAATTAGAGAAATTTGTGCTCGTGTTTTTAATATTCAACCACTAACGGACGAGTGGCGGATATATTCGCCCTATACTTTACACATGAAAAAAGATGATAATATATTTATTTATATATTGAAATTTTGCTATAATAATTATACAAAATATTGTTTATAATTAATTAAACATGTTTCGTTCTTCCAATCACAATTAACATGATTACAATATGTTTTAAATTCATAAACCACTCGCGGACGAGTGACGGATATATTCGCCCTATCCTTTACACATGGAAAAAGATGAGAAAATATTTATTTATATATTGAAATCTTACTATAATAATTATGTATCAATGTAACTAAATAATAAATAAAAGTGAAGTTTGATTCTTTCTTCGTCATTATATAAACACAAAATTTAACAATTTTAATTTGCGAAATGGCATCGATTCGATGAACTTAAACGCCATTGTGTTCTATCCATCCACGATCCGTAATTTCATGCATGATCCACAACAATATGGTGTGGATATACCGGATAACAATATTGTTAATAATTAATTAAACATCTTTCATTCTTCCAATCACAATTAACATGATTACAATATGTTTTAGATTCATAAATTAGAGAAATTTGTGGTGAATGCTCGTGTTTTTAATATTCAACTACTCGCGGACGAGTGGCGGATATATACGCCATATCCTTTACACATGGAAAAAGATGATAAAATATTTATTTATATATTGAAATCTTACTATAATAATTATATATCAATGTAACTAAATAATAAAAAAGGTGAAGTTTGATTCTTTCATTATATAAACACAAAATTTAACAAAATAAAGTTAATAAATAAGTATAGAGATTTGCTTAAACGATGTTAATTAAATAATTAAAACAATTTGTGGTGGATGCTCCGGGCGTATTCGCTAAATATTCAATTAGCAATTAAAATAGAACTCATTATCACACAACTAATTACTTTTACGTACGCTTAAATTATACCACATTAACCCCTAATTATGATTACTGCAGATTTTCACGATTATTTAATTATTTTTGATTAACTTTGCATACAAATACGTACAATTTATATAAAATTGATTTGAAATTCAAGACTGTAATTATATTTCCCATTTGAAATCGTGATGTTTCAGCGATAAGAGCTGAAAATGCGCTGAAAAATAACAACGGTTGACCCATTTCCTGGGCCATATCTGAAACTATTTTATTCATTTTATTTGCGAGCGCAAAGGATTCGCGGCTCAAATCCTGCGCTCGTCCTGCAAAGCGGGAGCGATGGGTGTGCGGTGGTTGAAGAGATATATCCGTCTGTATAGAGGCAGTGAGTGTGAGCGAGATAGAACGTATGGGATTGGGGGGATGAGAAGAGAGAAAGAGAGAGAGAGGATTGGGGAGACCCAGTTGGCCGGCTAATAACGTTATTATCCCTCGTTAATTCAAATAGACAGACACGCACAAGTTAATCTACAAATAATCTACACACATCTGCCTCGAGTAAATCCCCAATATGTGAGAGCAAATGTAAACATAAGCCACAGTTTTCTTCTACAACTACAGTATTTTTTTCGTAGCCTTATT